ACTTGTGAATAAATTATATTTAATTAAATAATGATTTAGGTAATTTGCAAATTAAATTATTCAATTTTATAAAAAAAATGATAAGATTTGGTGACATGGAATACATAAATTATTGCCACCTCATTAAAAAACATGACACATTAGCAAAATTGAATGGAGGACCAAGTAAATCTAAAGTACATCTAACTTAAGAGACCATTATCACTGATTTTGTAATAGGGGAGCCATTTATTTAAAATGCCCAAATTAGGGGGACCAATAGTGCATTTAAGCCTATTTTTTAGGGGTGGCAAAGTGGGTGACCCGTTGTCGCTACTGCGAAAATCGGCGCCGGCATAACAGAAGAGTCGCCACCGTGTGTTATTTATCCCAAAGGAGGGAAAGGAAACACTCAGAGAAAACCTAACGCAAGAGGGAAAAGGAATGGTCATCGCAACCAAGTCCTGGATTCGGGATTCGGTTACGCAAGGGGAAGATATTAGCACCCCTCACGTCCATCGTACTCGATGAGATCCACGCTTGTTGTTTATCTCGAAGGGTTGATTTAATACTATCTACGCTAAGGCCTGGGTTAAAAAGAAAAGAAAATGACTCAGCAAAGTATCGCACTTTATGCTTACATATTCCCGTCTGAAACGAGAAATCAGAGTCAATGTAGTTCGCCTACCTACGGGAAAGGAGGGGAAGATTGCTCGCCGAGATATCGCATCTCGTGCCTATGTACTTTCATCTGGTATGAAAGATCATAGCAGTCGTAGTTCGGCTTACTACGGGGAGACTAGTTTAATCCTAACGTTATCATGCCAAGTTCGTCCTAAGGTTGAAGTTTGCAAAGGGGAAGACTACCCTAATGTTGTCATACATGGTTTAAAAGCCTAATGTCTATCACATTCTATCTTCAACAAGAAAGAATGGAGATCCTAAGGGATAGGCAAAGGAAGCAACAGAAAACAGATGAAATAAACAGCATACAGGAAATGCGGATTCATAAAGGTAAACATGGAATGCAAGTGAGGGAGGAAGTCATCTCAACCTCAAGCCCATAATGACTGGAAAATGGCCTATTTTAAACATGCAATCTTGGCCACAAGTGATTATAAAGTGATACGAGGCAATAAAACCTACGAATGACATACATATACTACGATTAGGAATCATAACGCGCTATCATGAAAATATGGAACCTAATGGGCAATTATGTATGATAAAACCAGCCAATCAATGATCTACACATCCTATATAATGTCTATAATGAGCAATAGGAACCCTAGCGTTCATCACACAAACAATTCGAGGCCGTTGGAGCCAAAATAAAACCGAAGTCCGTTCGAATGTCCATATTACAAGTCCGAATACAAAAATATAAGAAAAATAGAAAAAGGTGCTAAAAAATTCAAATAAAAATCTCCAATGCCCTACATCAAGTCACAAACCAGGGGTGAGAGATACAACAAAAATATCCAAAGAGAAATGGCCAAACAAGTTGAAACTATGTCATGTATACCAAAAGAAAGGTTAAAATGGAGCATGTTAAAGAAAGCATCCAAAACCAACTAAAATGGTACAATAAAATTCCCACAAAAATATATCACAATACCTCAACATGTGTATGAGATCCCTGCAAAAGTTTAGGAAAAAATATGTAATTTTGATGGGTCAAAGAAAATTCACAACATGATAGCACCAGCATTGGCCTTTTTATGACGACTACAATGTAAAAAATCTAATAAAATGACGAAAAATGGAAAAAATATGGTTCCATTTCTATAAAATTCTAGACATCTTGAAGATTATGCAGAAAAAAATAGGAATAAAAAAGACTAACTTTCCTATTTTTTATGATTATTTGAAGTCAGCATATAAATCAGAAAAATAAAAGAACATGGAATAGCACATGAACACATGAGAAAAATGAGATAAATGGTGAGGATAAATAAAAAGTGTACAGCCAGGAATCGAACAGAGGTACATGGGGGCGTGGTGGCTGAGTTGGCGCGCCACCTCAATTAATGAGGTGTGATGTGGCAGCGCGTGTGGCACATTCCTGGACGTTCGATCGGATGACCAAGTCAAAATTTCAACACAATCCAACGGCAACCGCTCGTCTTCTTCGTTGGGAACATTTGCTGGCCGGAAATATGCAAACCGCGGCCAGAAAACGCAAGCTCCGCCGGCGAGCTTCATGTGGTTCTATCTTCTTCAATTCTTGACCAAACGCAATGTTCTTTAGATGAATCTTGTGGGATTTTTCGAGAGGAATCCGAATATATCATTATTTTCCACTGAAATGGCCTCTAACTCAAAAACCGTATATGAATCTCAAACTTTCAAGAACACCAAATTGTCACAAAAACCATCTTTTTTGTACTAGAATCCATGTAGGAGATGAGAGCAATGTAATGCAACAACAATAATGCAAGAAAGACTCATAAATCATGAGTTATGGTGAATTCTTTATACCTCCGAAAATGACTCTTTTGAGCTTCAATGGAGCACGAATTTCTTTGGAAAATTATGTAGAAATATTCAACAATCCATGGTAGAGGTATTAGGATGAAGGAGAATGCTTGAATTGGTGAAGAAAATGAAAATTAATTTTCACTTGGAGCTTACTTTTCATGTTACTACAACCATGGTGTTGCACTAAAAACTTCTCAAAAATTGATGGAAAAATTCTATGGAGTATATTGAATATGTTTGCAATGAGAAAGGATAAAAAAAGTGGAGAGAAAAGGGAATTGAAAAATCAATTTTTCAAATGTAGAAAATTGTGGGAAAATGAAAAAAATGGTGGAAGAAGAAATGCAAATGCCTTGATTTTGGTTTATATACATTTCATGCATCATAAGAAACTTCCAAGGCCAAAAATAGTTCCTTGTTTCTAGTTTTAAGACAAAAATCCAAAGTGTTACTTGAATTGTAAGAAATCTTGAAATAGCTCATGATAAAATCCTCAAATGAAAAATGTAATAATGTCATTGTTCTTAAAACATGATTTCCATTCAAAATGAGTACAAATATGGATTGGTTTGGTTAAATTTTGACAAAATACCAAACTAGGCCATTTCACATGTTTTCACCAAAGTGACTTTTATCAAACTTCCACCATGAGCTAACCCATTAAAACCTTGAGGTTTAGTTGACCCAATGACACCATTCGGAGCAATTTTCATGTTGGAAAAAAGTCTATTTGAGTTATGCAAAGTATTGAACTTGACCTGTAATTTTATGACCTGTAATCATAGTTTCCCAACTCATTGATAATCTTCAGTTGGCCTCTAAGTCAGGGGATGAACCCCACACAAGCATCTGAACTTCTCAAGGGCATGAACCACTTCCTGGTGACTTTAGTGACTCCTTAAGCTCGAATAAAACCTCTAGATAGGCCTCTCTCGATGTATATCACACTTGATCCCCTGCATAAATGCTAATGCAATGCTATAATAATGCTATGATGATGTTATGCTAATGCAAAAACAAGAAGGAAAAGGTTGGACAAATTTTGGGGTGCAACACCCGTCCCGTTTGGGCCTGCCACATTTAAGCTCGTCGAAAAGCAGGGTGGGGCAACTAAGGCGTCACAACTCAAAAGTCAATCTCACCCCGTTTACTAACGAGTTGGCGGGCCAACCCGCCAATTTTTTTTTTTTTTACAATTTAATTTACTGCATAATTTATAAAATTGTTAAACATTACAAAAGAGACCGACAAATTTTACCAATGCATAGTAAAACTTTAACAAGTTTTAATGCAAATGTCATATTCTAAAACATAAACAAACAACATAACTATAATACCCAACACTTAAAACAAACACACTAAAACCCAAAAATTCATAACTTATTATCATAATGAGAAATAAACCCCTATGTGCAAAACTTACCTTATAGTTTTAGAATCCGACTTCAATGACAACGAGTAATAGAAAATAGAAAAAAAAATGTATTCTCTATGTTTTGCAATAATGACTTTTTCTACTACGAGTGAAAATAAATAACTAAGCAGACACCAATTAATGTCTTTAAAATGAGATGTTTGTGGTTATGTGAAAAATGAATATTAGAGTTTGAAGAAATGATGGTTGTTTTAAAAATATATCTACTACATACCACGTTAATATTATTTTAAGTCCAAATAAAAAAAAATAAATTTTTTAAACAAAAAATCCGTGAGCGAAACCCGCCCCGCCCTCGGTCTGTTTTAAAAGTGGGTTAGGTGGGACGGGGCAACTTAAGACACCGAGCCGAAAACTTCACCCTGCCCCGTCAAAAATGGTGGGTTAAACGGGCGGGCCCAACCCATTTTGCCACCCTTAATTTTTTTGAGAGGTTCTTATGACACACCTTGGATCTCTTAGCCACCATGCGCGTTTCCTTAAATGCCCCAAACTCTGGAGATATATCTTCAGACGCACCTTTTTTTTACTCAATTTTGAATTTTTTCGGAGATACATTTTCGAAATCACCATAAAACACGTATTTTATTCGTTTTTGAGTCAGACCCCCAAATTTATAAATAAATTATTTTCGGAGATATATTTCCAAAATCTGAAGGCATTTAAAGAAACACGTATAGTGGCTAAAAAACCTAAAAGGTGGGATAAGAAATCCCATTTTTTTTTAACTTTATATAGATTCTTCTGACACACGAAATAACATGGAATTAAAATCGTAACACTAAAAATAAAAAAATAAATCTTTAATTTTTAAATAATAACCCCAAATAATGTGGAATTAAAATCCTTAAATTAAAAAGAGAAATTAAAAATTTATTTTTTAAAATAAAAAAATAAAAGGATTAAAACTGTAATTAAATTAAATTAATTTATAAAATAAAAAGAAAAAAATGAAAAAAAGAAAAGAAAGAAGAGATATAGATATAACAAAAAAGAGTTTTTCACGTCATTGCTCCATTCCGAGACCGCAACACATCACAACAAACCCTAGTCGCAAAATTGTTAATCCTCCTCCTCTACTCTCATCAATCTGAATCTCTTCACTATGGACGCTCAGAGAGCTCTCCTCGACGAACTCATGGGTTCAGGTACTACTGTCTATTTCCCCCAATTGAATTATTTATTCGATCTCATTTCTAAATTGAATAATTTGTTCTCGAATTCAGCACGAAACTTGACGGAGGAAGAGAGAAGGGGGTACAAGGAAGTTAGCTGGGACGATAGAGAAGTATGTGGATTCTATATGGTCAGGTTTTGTCCTCACGATCTCTTCGTCAACACGCGTAGTGATCTCGGTGTGTTTTTCTTCATCAATTCTATACTAAACTTTTGCATCATGATTTGGATTTAATATTCTTCATTTTGAATAGTTTGTTGTATAAGTTTTAATGGATTTAAACTGACGCAGGACCTTGCCCAAAAATACATGACCCTAAGTTGAAAGAAAGGTAAAAAACATATATTTATTCATCAATATATTTTATTTCATTATTGAATAGTTTGAGATTTCTGATGACATGATGTTTGCTGCCTCTGAATTCTTGCTGCAATTATTTCTGAGTACCGGAGTAAATTGTTTTAGATATGTCTTCTTAAAGATGTAATTTTTGATTTTTTAAATTGTTGAATGAGCCACACTATGAGGTTTTACATGCGTGCCTATCATATTCAATATCAATTTCATCACTCGTAATTCAGTTGGAGCTAGGATCATTTGTTCTATTATCAAAAAAGGTGCACCGCATTGACGTTGTCTTCCTTTAAAAGTTTCCACTCCTTTGCAGATTTTACCTTGTCATTTATGATATTTGATAACATAACATGACTACAATATTTTGGCACTGATAGTATTCTATCAGACTTTACTGTCATATATGTTTATCCCTTGACATGTTTACTCTATGCAGACTTGTCATATATATGTTTATCCATGATATGTTGATAAGTGCCCATAATTGCATAGACTAGTTTCAAATTTAATCAGTTTTACTTTGCTGGTGACTTCAGTTTTGAAAATTCCCCAAGACATGATGCCTATGTACCCAAATTTGAAGCCGAACTTTCTCAATTTTGTGAGAAATTGGTAAGTCAGCTATCTCTTATCATCCTCATCCTACGTCTATGAAGCACGGACACGATACGAGTATTGGATACGTATTGTATCCTATACGGCAATACGTTATTAATTGAAAAAGACTAGATACGATATGTTTAAGATACACATAAAAAATATGATAATAAGAACTTATTTAGAATATTTTAGATGGATAAAAATGATAACTATATTATGTTAATAAAATTTTGTTCCTGCATAGATAAAAGTAATTATATGTGAAAAGAAAATTATATTTAATATGAATTAAATTTAAAATATTGAAAATTGATAAGAAATGATGGGAAATTAAACCATTATTGTAAAATGGTAAGTTTCTAGAAATAATTAATTAGGGTATTAAAGAATGACCATTAAAAAATTAAAAGGAATGAAAAGTCATTAAAAAAAAAGAGTCAATTAAAAATTGAAAAGACATGTATCTGGGACGTATCGTAGGTGTATCACCGTCATATCGAAAACTTTCTATTTGTTTTTTAAAATAAATAAATTCGGATACTTCTTCGATAGGTATCGGTATGTATCAGATACGATTCGGTTGAGTTTTTGAAGTATCCGTGCTTCATAGCCCTACGTTCGAAGGAGTTGACCTTTGTTTGTATGTTGATGTTCTTCATATTTTCTGGTGTAATAATCACAGGTGATGGACCTGGATAGAAGAGTAAAACGTGGCCGGGAACGTCTTAATCAAGAGGTGGAGCTACCACCGCCGCCACCACTGACAGCTGAAAAATCTGAACAGCTATCTGTGCTGGAGGAGAAAATAAAGAACCTTCTGGAACAAGTTGAATCTCTTGGTGAAGCTGGGAAGGTTGATGAAGCTGAAGCTCTAATGCGAAAGGTGCTGAAGATGATGATAGACCTTCTTCCCTTGCATATACTTTTGATGATTTATTAGGTTTCTATGATGCTAATTGTAGAAATGACTTTGTGAGGATTTACCTTTGAAAGATCCAAGACTGGGTTTCACTTGGATTTATTTTTTGGGGATGTTTCTTTCAGGTGGAGACACTTAATACTGAGAAGGCAGTCTTGACACAGCCTCAAAATGAAAAAGTGTTAATGCTTCAGGAGAAGAAAATGGCACTCTGTGAGGTATGCGGTTCTTTTCTTGTGGCAAATGATGCTGCAGAAAGAACTCAGTCTCATGTCGCAGGAAAGCAGCATGTTGGCTATGGCATGGTTCGTGATTTCATAAATGAATACAAAGTGAGTTTTATCCTAAACAAATTTTTACATTACTTTTATAAAATCTTTCTTAAAATTAGTTGGTATATTGTGTATTTCAGACTGCTAAGGAAAAGGCTATTGAAGAAGAAAGATTGGCTCGGGAAAAAGAGATAGAAGAGCGAAGAAAGCAAAAGGAGAAGGATAATGAGAGAAAGAGACGGAGTGATTCAAGTGATAGGGAGAAATATCGTGATAAAGATCGAGACAGGGAGCGTGATCGGTACAGAGATAGAGACTCAGAACATGAAAGATCTCGGGAATATGAAGTTAGAGGTAATCGAGATCGGGGAAGGGGGATGGATTCTAGGTCGAGGAATGGAAAAAATGGGGGTAGAGACAGGTACCGCAATCGGAGCAGATCACGTTCCCCTATAAGGCATAACTACAGAAGGTCTTGAAGTCCAGTTTGCTCCAAGTAGTGGAATTTCTTGATAGATGTCAGAATTTGAATTTAAAAGAGGTAGACCTTAATATCCTGAGACTTTCATCAATATGTTCTTTTGGAGTCTTAATTTTCCTCATCATCAAGGGTGAATTTACCTTTTTCCCATCTCAGAGCTTTCCTGAGACTATACAAACTCCTTTTCATCAATGTTATTAGTGGAGAAAAGGTTCGAGGTAGGCATTTCACTGTTGTAACTTTTCTTACAAATTTATTTTAAGTGATTTATGATAGTTCATCTCAAACATTGTGTACCTGCATTTTCTGGAAATCATTTGATTGAGTAGAGAGATGTCAGACACAAAATTACATGATTGCTTATCATTGCTGCAAAAGGGGATGGTTTACTCTTGTTTTGAGGTAACATGTGAATCTTATAACCCTGAGACAAATAAATTGGTATTTGTTTTCCCTTGTCTGTTTCATTACTTGTTTCTTAAGTTGATATAAACCAGCACAGGTTTATAAATGCTCTGCTTATTCTGACATGCATTTGACATTGAACTACAACACTCTGAAGGCACCGGTTTAGAAGTTAGAAGATATAGGTAAACTTACTGAATTTGCTGTTGGATGTTTCCCCAATCTATCGTATTGGCATTTATAAGTATTGGGATTTATAAGTATTGGGATTTATGATATACTGGGTATGATATTTTAGACATGGGTTCCCATTTATGGGGAAAAGATAAGTGCATATTGTCCACTCACAAGTTAGCAGTTTCCTTTGAATTTATCCAATTGGTAATGGCTTGGAATGCTGAATTAGCTCAGCAATAAAAATATAACTTGATTTATAAAATGCTGTTTGAATTGAACATTCATAGGACTGAAAATACAGTATTTGGCTCTTTTCCAAGTTATTTGATAGCAGAAATATTGTCGTTTGCATGAAAAACCGTCATTGAAATGGGGTATTAGGTTGCTTCCTTTTGTTTTGTGAACAAAGTGTCTGTGTGATGGGTGGTAATTGGCTCTCATCTATTATCGAGTGTTAAATTTGGTGTTAAGAAGTACAAATCCCGTGATATTTAATTGTTAGAACAGGTTGCGATACGGGCAGGAAAAGCTTGTTCTTTTTATTGTGGACAATTGTTGGAGCTGTTATTGTTTCACACATCAAGTTTAAAGATGTATTTTGATTAAAAAAAATCAACCAAGTCTAGTTGGTAAATATATATTCACAGGCATAATTATTGAAATATTTTGAAAATAACGGATTGATACATCATATGTAAATGTTAATAAGTATTTATAATACAGGTTTAGATTAAAATCTAAAACCCAAACATGAAATGTATAATAGTTTGTCTCGGTAGATTGATTTAGTATCTGAATTGCTATGTATCTAAGCACAGGCAGCATGACAATATAGATTTAGTATCTGAATTGGTATGTATCTAAGCACAACCAACATAACAATATAGATTCTCCTTATTTTTTTATTCTTACAAAATGATATATAAATTATCCTCCTTGCGATGTATATGCAAACAATAATCATATTTGGCAATAAACTTCACCAAATTTATGCAATTTTTAAAACTAAAATATAACAATATTGATTCAAATTCAAATTGATAATAAGATTTTGTTAAAAAAAATTATAAACAAACTCACAAATAGCATAAAATAACAAATTGCTTACTTATATTCAAATGTTTACAAATATAATAAGGGTAACTTAAACATGTGCCCTTAGGGCGGAAAAAAATTGTGTTGGAAAAATCAATAAAAAATTAATAATCAACGTTTAATTAAAACAATGTGCAATTTCCAAAAGAAATTTCTATATTTAAATCTAGTCACGACAACATTATCTGTATCAACAGTTACTCACATAACCTACCTTGAGTTTGACATAATCTATATGAGCAGCCATGAACCTTACTCACATAACCTACCTTGAGTTTGACATAATCTATATAAGCAGCCATGAACCTATCAGGAAATCTATTTTGAATGTGCTTGAATTTAGATTAAAATTTTTCTTAGATTTTAAAATATGGAAACGAATCAAGGAATAGAAATACTAATACTCACTTTGAGAATATTAGTATTCACTCTGAATTTGCCATCAAACCTGTTCTATTTTTATTTTGTTTTGATAACTTTACAATATTATTGGTATAATAAGTGATACTTTGTTTTGATAACTTTAGAATATTATTGGTATGATAAGTGATATTATTAGTGTCCCGGTTTCCGGTCCGGTTTTCAAAACATTGCCTTCAAGTGTAGCTTTAGATTTTGGGTGGCGCCTAGAGGTAGTAAAGTGTCGGGCAAACTACTCCTTAAGACTCATTCATGACGTGATCGAACCCCGAGGAAGGCTCTTGTACCAAGTCATAGCTCACTTCTTAAGGGTGGTGGGAAACAACCTGCATTTGATCGCTCCAAGGACATAGTGATGGTGCATCATGGCCTCAATGTTTTCTATGTGATCACCAGGGTCGGTGGTACCATCATAGAGAGCTAAAGGGGGAGGTTTCTCCAACCCGCGCGGAATGCGGGTGTCCATGATCTCTTGTGACAAGGGACCGCTTGCGTTGTCTTTGTTGCTCGTGTTGGGTGACCTGCTGAACGAATAACTGCGTTCTCGGCTCCTGCTGCATCGAGGAGAACTTTCATGTCGGCTTCGGTGCTCTTCTCGAGGCTTTTCGAAAGGCCTGATATTTTTGGATACAGGGGAGTGCCTGGATTTTCGAGGAGAGGTACGATCGCGCTTTCGAATGGTCTCATTTCCATGCTTTTCCAATTTGGATCATACTTTGGCAAGGGAGATGCTTCTAAATTCATCTCGACGATGCTTCTGACGAGAGGAATGTGACCGGCGAGATGGGCTGAGGGATCTTCGCGAGGGAGGTCGTTCTCTGATGGTGTTTTCCAGCATGTGGATTTTTTCTCCTTGTTGGAAGAGCAAATAGTTGGATTTGTTGATGGTGGCGATGAGGACCGTTGTGCAAGGGTTGGCATCTTGTGGGATGATGGTAGATTTGTTTGCATGGTCGAAACCTTGGACACGAGGCTTCACGTTGTCAGGAGATGTTGGCTTTTAGCTCCTATGATCAACTTCTCTGGTGGCAGCTCCGAGAATGAGAGTTTCGTTACAACCCAGAACGGTGACGAGGGAATCTTGCTGGGCGTCATTACGGTGATAGGCCATGACGATGAAAGTACAGCGAGGTAGCTTTGGTCTTTTGTTTGGGAAGATTGGGAAATCTTGGTTAAAAAAGACGGGGGAGCTGGTTTTCCCATAGACGACGCCACTGATATGTTATGATCAGAATAGATAGTCTTGGCCTTCAATTTAGGGCAACAACAGTGGTTGTAGGAGAGGAGGGGGTGTACCTGCAAGATACTCTGATGCCAAATTAAGTGTTTGGCTAAAGAGAGAAAGAAAGTGTGAGTGTTTAGGTATGAGCAAGAATGATTAGAATACCTGACTCTCTCAAGAGAGAGGGTATTTATAAGATTCCCCCTAGCGCGGGGCCAAGGTCCCACATGTGACTGAAATATCTGGTCGGTCAATGAGGGACTGCCAGGTGGAAGATCTAGCGCGTGATCTTTGACTTGGTCCAACTGCCTCTGTGACTTTTGGAGGGACAATTGGTCGCGTGAACTTTCAAGCGCGTAGGGGACATGTCCCCAACGACTATGTGCTCCAACGACTATATTATATCCAATGACTATATTGTGCCCTATGGTTGCATTGTTCCCAACGGCTATATTGGGCCCTATGGTCGCATTGGGCCTGGCCTCAAGGTAGACTGGATTGGGCCTTGCCCAGTACAGTCCAGAACATTAGTATTATTGTTCATGTTAGTATGCTGACGTCGAATTATTATTTTTTATTATCCATTATTTTTAATTTCACATAATATATAATTTTTTCAATTATTTTAATCTTGTGAAAAAAATTCAAAATTTAGCAACTTGCAAGATCAAACCAAGATCACCTTGATTGCAAGCCATGCTCTGGTTCTGGGTGAGATCTAGGGAACGATACTTTCTGGTACTATGGACAAAGAAGGAGGATTTGTGAACAGACCACCTGTTCTGGACGGGAGTAATTATGACTATTTGTTACCTCGTATGGTTGCCTTCTTAAGATCTCTGGACAAAAAGGCATGGAAAGCTGTTATAAAAGGATGGGAACATCCTGTGATTATTGATTAAGATGGAAAGACCACATCTGACTTGAAGCCGAAAGAAGAATGGATAAAGGAAGAGGATGATCTGGCTCTTGGTAACTCCAAAGCCTTGAATGCTCTATTCAATGTAATTGATAGGAACATATTCAGATTAGTAAACAACTGTGAGGTAGCTAAGGATGCCTGAAAGATTCTCAGGACTACTCATGAAGGTACATCCAAGGTAAAGATGTCTAGACTTCAACTACTAGCTACAAAGTTTGAAAACCTAAGGATGAAAGATGATGAAAACATACATGACTTCCATATGAATATCCTTGAAATAGCCAATGCTTCAAGTGCCCTAGGTGAAAAGATGTCTGAAGAAAAGCTGATAAGAAAAATTCTCAGATCTCTTCCCAAGAGATTTCACATGAAGGTAATTGCTATAGAGGAAGCACAAGACATCTGCAAAATGAGAGTTGATGAACTCATTGGATCTCTCTTAACCTTTGAAGTAGGGATGAGTGACAAAGCTGATAAGAAAAAGAGCATAGCTTTTGTATCAAATACTGAAAATGGAGAGGATGAATCAAACGAGGATACTAATGAAAGTTTATCAAATGCCATAGTGCTTCTTGGAAGACAGTTCAACAAAGTGATGAAAAGAATGGATATGAAGTCAATACCTAATGTCAAGAACATCTCTCATGACACCAGTAGGTCCAATGATGCAGGTAGAAGAACCAGGACTGAAGAAAATCCCACAAATAGAAAAGGAATACATCGCCATGGGTGTGAAGGTTTTGGTCACATCAGAGCT